AGCGCCTCCTAGCTTAGCTCAGCGTCTCCTAGCTTAGCTCAGCGCCTCCTAGCTAAGCTCAGTGTCTCCTGGCTTAGCTCAGCGCCTCCTAGCTTGGCTCGGCGTCCCCTAGCTTTGCTCGGCGTCCCCTAGCTTAGCTCAGCGTCTTCTGTCCCGTGTCTCCTGTCTAAGCGTCCTCTGCTGCCCAGGTTGGTCTACCGGCAGTTCTACCCGTTGACCATGGAGGTCTGTCGCTACCTGAAGATTCCAGACTACCAGGGAGTCAGCCGAGTCCTGAAGCACTGGGCCTCCTGCAAGGTCACCTCCAGCTTCCCTCCATCTTCTGCTGATCCATGTCCTCCAGACCTTCTCACATGTCCTCCTCCTGGTCCAGGTCCAGCAGAAGGACCTGACGGACGAGGCCATCGCTCGAGCCGTCTGCTCCAAGGTGGGAGACTGTCCTGGGGTGTCCTACTCTGACATCGCAGCCAAGGCGTACGAGTGTGGCCGTCCTGAGCTGGCCATCAAGGTGGGAGTCCTGTAGGCATCTCTGCTGTGGTTGTGCTCACCTGGTGGCGCTGTAGCTCTGAAGTTCCTGGTGGTCCCCTGCCACCATCTATAGTATTTGTCTCAGCAACCCCCCCTGTGGCCCGTTTCAGCTCTTGGACTATGAGGCCCGTTCTGGAGAACAGGTTCCTCTGCTGCTGAAGATGAAGAGGAGCCAGCTGGCCCTCAGCAAGGCGGTGGAGAGCGGCGACACCGACCTGGGTGAGTTATGAGGCTCCGCCCACCTGTCCTCCAGCTAAGCTGCTGGTCTCTGACGTCTCTCTGTTGGACAGTGTACACCGTGGTGACCTACCTGAAGAACGAGATGAACCGAGGAGATTTCTTCATGACCCTGAGGAACCAGCCGGTGGCCCTCAGCCTCTACAGACAGGTGGGCTCAGCAGAACCAGAAGGTGTAGGAGGTCCTGGCTGGTAGCGGATCCCAGGGTCCTGACTGGGTCCCTTTAAATTTAGCTGATTGGTTGTTGGACGCCATAGTCCAAACAGGAAGATGGACCAGATCCCAGGTCGATCCAACAGAACGGAGCCCTGGGTCAGGCAGTCCTGGTTCTGGAGACTCCCTGCCTGTTCTGCTACATTAGCGTTACAGAGTTACAGCGCTACAGTGCTACGTTAAAGCTACAGTGTTACAGCGCTACAGTGCTACGTTAGTGTTACAGAGTTGCAACAATACAATGCTACTATTAGCATTATAGTGTTACAGCTCTACAATGCTACTATTAGCATTACAGTGTTGCAGCGATACAACACTACATTAGCGTTACAGAGTTGCAGCGATACAATGCTACGTTAGCGTTACAGTGGTACAGCGATACAATGCTACATTACCGTTACAGTGTTGCAGCAATACAATGCTGCGTTCCAGTGTTACAGCTCTACAATGCTACTATTAGCATTACAGTGTTGCAGAGATACAATGCTACGTTAGCGTTACAGTGTTACAGCGCTACAATGCTATGTTAGCGCTCTAGTGTTAAAGTGCTACAATGCTACATTAGTGTTAGAGTTGCAGCGATACAATCCTACTATTAGCATTAAAGTGTTACAGCTCTACAATGCTACTATTAGCATTACAGTGTTACAGCTCTACAATGCTACTATTAGCATTACAGTGTTA